AAATTAATTTTTTTAGATTTTTTTTATTTAGATTAATCTTCGTTAGATTCTAAAGGTATTTGGTTGTTTAATTATTTAATTATTTTTGTGTTTTTAGTCTTTTATTTATTGCCCCTTCCCTGAAAAATTTCTAGATCCGCCACTGGTCATGACAATAGTTAAAAATGTTTACTCCTCGTGAAGATTAGAGACTTGTTGCATGAGTCACAGGCGGTAATCATTTGTTTATTTCCTGGGGCAGTTTGGTGGGGTCACTGCAATGGGCTGAGGGAGGCCATGAAGTAGATGAAGAGAGTGAAGAAGATTATACGGAGTTCTTAGATAGCGTATATGAGCAAGTCTCAGATGCAGAAGAGGTGAAGGTTGATGATACAATGGGAGTTGACGATTATATCCCTCATAAAATTGGGGATTTAATAGTTTTTTTAACAGAATGACTATTTAAGAGCACTCATATTAACGTTTGGGACCATGAGTGATACAAAAAAAACTTTAAAGATGCAATTTAATAGTTTCGCAACCGTCATGGACGTTTTGTGATAATAAGCCTATATAAAATCTTGCAAGTATTCTGCAAGTCGTGGCAAGCGTTCGTATTTTTGGCCTATGCATGTTTTGTTTGATCCCAAACAATCCCTGCAAATTTGTTTGGGTATATGTTTGGGCATATCGAACCTATAGGTATATGTTTGGGTATATCGAACCTAGAATTTCGAATGCAATTTATTCAATCAAACTTAGAAAATTCAACGTTAGATACAAAAAACCATCAATTTGAAATTATTATCACTCCCCAGCATGCAAATTATGCTGTGCTGCATTGAACATCCTTTAACATGCAAAAGAGCACTTCAAATTTCAAACTTCTGGTAAAATACAAAATACAATAAGAAGAAAAAAAAAGAAGAAAGAAAACTGGTTAATTAAACATATGATTAATTCACCCATCATAGCAACACTGAATACAGCATTGGTAGTTCAATGATCAAGAGAAAACTCTAGCTTTCAATATTCATGAAGGTTGCAGTTCCTCAACTAAACAAAGGAAAGCCCAATACAAGAGGAAAGTACCCCTCAAAGCCGGGAAAAACTACCAAGGTCAACTTAACAATGTAAATATAAAAAATACCATGTATAGAAATAAAAGAACACTTCTAGAAACCCCACCGAGAAACACTGCCGCTGCACAATAAGTCTGGTACTTTTTTTTTTTCAATTTTCTTTATCTAGTAGTTTATGAGGAAGCCCGTCTAAGTTTCTCACAAGCTTTTCAATGAAGAAGCAAACCACAAGAAAACCTGAAAACAGCAAAGTTGCAACAATCGTCAATGCCAATTCGCAAGGACAAAAAGATGTTAAAGTTTCTTTCTCTAAAACAAATTCCTACCGAACATTTAAACAAGGAACTGCCACCCGTCAAGCCACAATATTGATCTTAAAGTGAGTGCAGCATGAGCAGGTGTTTGTCATTCATAACTGCAAGAACAAAGTGAGGGGGAAAGGGAAACAGCGTAGAGAGACAGATAAGCATACAACTGAATTAATATTTGCAGTAAAAAATGACTAAAAGAAAAATAGGAATTTTAGTTTTCAGATTGTCCAAGTACAGATAAAAAGAAAAACACAATGGTGGTTGGATTGTGTGATTCTTCAACACTACACATACATGAAATCTAATTCTTCTTCTGCAGATGCAAATGATCACCTCAAAAATTGCCCAGATGAAAGGAGGGAGGCAATCCGTTATGAAATCTCACTTTTTTTTTTTAAATAAATAAAATGTCATTACTTATGGAAGAAATTTGGGCACAATATACAGTTTGCTCATTTCAGATGCGAACACCGGTCAAAAAAATAAAGCATGGCAAAGTCTTCTCCATATAAAATTATCAGTTTGATGTGCCAAACAGTAAAAACCATAGAAAACCAAATACCAAGACTGAGTACCTAAGATATCTTTGAACACATCGGCCCAAAGTGCTCCATAACATAGGCTGAAGATCACAAAGGGCTTAGACGAAGGCCTGCAGCACCATATGATCACAACTTATAACTTTGTCACACCCGAAATAGCAGAAAAGTTAAATTCGGGCAAAGATAGAACCTTTATCAACTTATTCAAACAAGCTCCGTATTATTTTGAAGTACTTCACTGGCCACGTTCATCTGTGAATACCTGCAAGTATCAAAAGAAAATAAACTCAAATCACAACAAAAGGCAGAAATACATAGCATGAACCCCACCACTCTAACCCAACCCTGGATCAGGAGGGAGCAATTCTGGAAAGGAAAAAAATTTGTGCTTGATAACATCATAGTGACTTGCCTACGAGGCTTATTTTGTCGCTGCCCATACTCATCGCCCACAATTTCTGTACAGGAAAAACCTTATGTTAGTCTACCACACCGTAAAAATAAATAGAGTATTTAACAGCCAACCCAAGGGGCCAAGAGTAATAACAAAGGTGAGAAGCAAAACTAAAGATAAGGTAATGTCATACCAGGCTTTTGTGAAGGCTTCCATTCGTTATTGGTTTTATTTGCATTATTCTCTTTGCTGAAAAACAACACACAAAAATTTAGAAAGGTACGTAAGGATATTTTCTTTAAGAAATAAATAAAAAATAAGATCTCCCGACCATGTGGAAGTAAAAAGAACCCCTTAAACAATTATTTCAACTTAAACAAGGGAAGTTTAAATGAATGAATAAATATATAAATACAAAAAAGACAATTCTTAAACAAAGCAAGAAAACAGACAACACATCATATTGAAAGTGAAAAATTTAACAAGCTAAGCTTAACGTGACAATAAGCAGGTTATGATACAGTCAAAGAGACGACCATACTACCAACCTTAAGGAACCCACAGAAGATGTTTGTCCCGATGGGCGAGAATGATAAGAACCATCAACAGAGATATAGGGTGGACAATATGTTGCCCCCATAGCTCCTGCAGCACCCGCCAACACAG